TGCAAGAAAATCGAAACATGACTTCCCTTTTGTGCTCCAATACCTTTCGGATACACACAAACCTTCCTGAAAAAAATAATAATAATAGTAATGGAATTGAGAGGTCTAGTTAAGGAAAGATGTATCATTGCAGAAGAAAATAACATAGAGATATACCATTTATGATCCCAAGCATTGAACTCTTCAGAATACCGTTCATTGACCAATTTTGAGGATTTTGAAATCGTCAGTTCACGCTTAAAGGAATCAGTTACTTTCAAGAAAGACAAGCATTCTCTAATTCCTTTGTTCTTGACAACAAAAACCTCTGCTCCAAATACACAAGCATCATCGACAAGGTATCCATTACTTGGATTTGTCAAAGTTTCCTTCACAATGAATTTGGAAAAGCCCCACTCAGGGTTTATAGGATGAAAACGTCGTTGACCTGCACCGAGAAGGGAGCTGCTTGAGATTAAATTTATAGAAAATGCTCTTCTATTCTATTTACAAGTAGATAATACCTTTCTTAAATGCATATTTGTCAAGTTTGTGGTTAAACAGAAAGATGCTGACGACGGCATTAAATTCCCATCCAGCTTCCAGATTACTTACATTCTCTACAGCCAAGTAAGCAGAAACATGATTGGCTCCATCCACTGTGTTTCGCCCATTCGGATATATTATCAACTTCCTAATAAAGAAATTTAGATGAAAAATTATGGAAAACGAATGGGTTTGTACAAATGGTTATTGAGAAGTTGATAACAAGAAATACCATTTGTAGTTATCGTTTGATTCAAATTCACTTGATTCAATCTTGTCTATACCATTCTCTGAAAGTAAGGAAAATGACTCAATTTTGAACAGCAAGTGTGCAGGAGAGAAGTCTCTTGTTTCTAATGTAACTTCTGCAAAATTTTAACACAAAACAAGTTAAATTAATAATATTCCATTCTGTTAAATAAGCATTAAGAAGAATGAAAAAGTACTCACCATTGTCATCGCCAATACTCAGAAGATTACTTGTAAGGCTGCTTTGATCAAGAGAGACGAGGCTCAATTTATGCTCCATCATCTTTTTGTCCATTGCTTCGTCGCACTAAATAAGAAACCAGTAGACGAAAAGGCTCATATACAGGCTATCCATTTAGTTATAATGATCTTGCACTGGAAACAATTTACAAGAGTTCAAAGCAGGCGGGGATAAAATCACCATATCTGATCTTAGACTGTGGAAACCCATTACCCATGCAGAATAAAATCACCTAGTAACTTCTTGGTAGTTTTCGAATTAACTTTACAGGACAATGAAATGATATTACTGAACTAAATTTAACTTTAAAAGGAACTGTTTATTTAGAAAAATCCATTTTATTCTGATAATCATGCTGTCAACTCAATTATCCAAAAGAATTAACTTTTGCAACTTATATACTTTATTATAAGCACTATAATAAATAAACATTTCATATAAAATTTATGAACTAAAATCAATTGATAAATGCTTATTTTTTGAAACAAGCTTTTAACTCACCGGGTTATAGACTACAAACTAGGTCAAACGGTATATGACTTCAATCTTCGTTACCTTCTCATAGTTAAGTATCAAGTTTAGAATCTCCCCTTGTCCATCCAAGTGATCGTATCTTTTCATAGAGTTGCCTCAAGCATTATTACTATCATTAGGAATAGGGATTAACTGATAAGAACTTGATGCCTTTAATCGCCAACCTCATAATCCCAATTAAACTCACTAATTACATGTAACTCCTTTACATGAGTTATTTTAACACATAATCCTCAACATATCCAAGAAGATCAGAATATCGACAAAAATAACACTATCATTTCAAACTATTGCAATTTTTCACCAGTTTCAGTATATTGAACACTGTCACTAAAACTTTGACAATAATAGCACTTTCTGGGCACACTTTCAAAGTAGAACCAAAGTGGGAATTTTGCACGAAAGTAGAAGAAAATAAGTTAAAAATACCCAAATAAAATCTCAAATCCTTATCTCACTCTAATACCTCATAAATCAAGTATAAGCAATTGTCCATAAACCCTAATATCTAACATCGTTTTTCAATTAGCAAACCTTTTTCTTACCTCAAGAAATTGAAAAACCGTAGCTCAATTAGTGTTTAGCCCTCCTTTCTTTCTTTCAAATTCTTCTTCTTCTTCTTCTTCTTCTTCTCTTTCTCTCGTTTTTCTCTGCTTCTATTACCCCGTTTACAAATGACAAAAGGTACCAAATGAGCTTTGAACCGCGTTTTTCTCCTTTTTTTATTGGCACGGCCCCAGTTGTGAGGGTGTGTAATTTGTAAATATCAAAATCCATTAAACTATATGTGTGTTTGATTACATTTATTTTTTATGAAAAATATCAGTTTTCCATCTAAATTCTTATTTGAAATATTTGATTGCTATTTTTTTTTCATGAAAAATATTTTCCAACTTTTGAAAATATGCCTAATTTTCCTTATTTTTAAGGAAAATATTTTTCTTAGGTAGAGGTGGTTTTTATTTTCCACAAAATATGGAAAATATTTTCTTTTTTAGGTGATATTTTTCATGTCAATCAAACACACTTTAAGTTCTAACGATTTTGATCTGACTCGATTCGACCCGATTTGACTTGACCTGCATTACAACACTGAGTATGACCAGAAGAAGCCAATATTGAATTGAAGAAGACTGTGTGTACTTTCCATTGTATATTATCAGTTGATATACGCATGGGTGTGCCTCTCTGCATAAAGTACAAAATTCATACAAACTAGGTGTTTCTGGGACTACTTTCTTTTTTAACGAGGTGTTCCAGCTTGCGCCAGATTATATGCTCGTCCTTGAACCTCCGGCCCCTCAACAGCTCAGGGAGGTAAATCGCGGGATGTGCCCTTGTTGGTTCCCAGGTTCCCACACGGCTTTGGTTCCCAGGTTCCCACACAGCTTTTACTCCTGCCCCAAAGAAAGCCTCTTCACTGCCTTACAACAACTTGCCTTCCAAGATAAATCTTACATTCCAATTTGTGCCTTCCAAGAATCGAATTCCCCACGCTTGGTTCCAGAGCCTCCCAATATAATTGTTCCGCCAACTTGAATGTGCCCCGGGGGGCTTCAAAAGGTCAAAGCTTCATTTGCAGAGAGATGGATATTGACGCCTTGGACAAAAACAAAATTATTGAATTTCGTTGTTGATGAACATATAAGTTGTATCATTTATAGTTTATCGTTTGTTTTGAATTTGTTCACAAATTGAAGCTATATTTATTACTCTGAATGTTAAAAATTGATGCTATTACTTTTCCAAGAAATATGCTACTTAATTTAGTCATGGTTGCAAAAGTTGAAAATAAATGATCGTCTACTAAATATATTCAGATGGTAACCTAACTTATTAGGCCACATTTATCTAGAACATATGTTAAATTGCTGTCAATTTTCTCCGTCGAAGTAGGATTAGCACGTTTAGCAATGAGAGCTAATGGAATGACGTGACTGTTGGTATTTGAACACCTTTGAGACTGGAGTTTATTTCATTGATGTGGTAAGGATTGCTCAGTAGTATACTAGTATTTGAGTTAGACCTTGATATCTAGGAATACAATTAAAATTATTTATAAATAAAATAATATTATAATATAAGGGTCTGCTTGAGTCACATTATTTCAAAAAAATACATTTTTAAACAATGATTTGACATCATTTTAATCACACATTTTTCAATAAAATAATATTACTCGCATATCAAAAAGTTTTCATTATTTTTTAACCACACATTTCACATCAATACACTTTTCAAAAATGCATTATTATCAAAATAATGTGGTTTAAACTCCTCCTAAATCATAAGTTGCTTGTTCTTAAAACCTGTTTATTTAAAAGCTAAGTAAAGGATAGGGCTCAGCGCGGCAGTGTGCAGAGTTCGATTCTCCGCAAGGTGGAATTGGCTTTGTTGCAAGCGGGAGTTACCATATGGGTTAACAGTCTTGGCCTATCTATGTGCTCTCCACCCTGGCTCCTGGGAGGCACATCCTGCGATTTACCTCCTCCACGATGGCCCAGGGCAGGATCGACGGGGATCCTTAAGGTTGGGGTTCAACCTTTAAGTAAATAAAATCGTACGATAATTATTATCAACTAGCTTTTGACGTCATCAATGTCGAGGGTGCATTATTACCCAAGTGATGTCAAGCCTATTGGCTGGAAAGAATATCTTTTTGTAGGCTTTAACTTTTTTCTTATTTATTTATTTATTTATTTTTGTCATATCGTGCGTAGACTTTGTCAAGTCTTCCTTCCTAGAATAAGCTAGCAATTATTTATGATAGTACAACAACACTGTCCATTTTTTTTTCTTTCTCCTGTGTCGAGGTAAATTTTAATGGAGGTCACCCAAACCCATTTGTTTCCCATTTACGTATAATGAAAATGAAAGATATAGTTTTTAGGAATTAGGAGCTCCACACAAGAAATAAAATTCAAATATGATAGTTTGATGTGATGAATAAAAGTAATATTTTTTATTTTAATTGAAAAAGAATGAAAAATAAACAAAAGCTAAAAGTCTCGACTAATTCACGAAACTTTTAATAACGATTTCAATCTAGATTTTTTATTCATTTAGAGGAGTTCACAAATTCTTAAGAAGATGCGTTAACAATTGTTATTTTCACATCTTTGCTCAACATCACCCACCACCCATTAAAAAATTACATATAACAAGAAGTCACTACAATTAGGGATGACAGTTAGGCTTATCGACTCGGACCGTCCGTAACTCGACTCGAAAAAAATTTGAGCCCACCTCACTCGAGGCTCAAGTCTAGCCCCATTTTGGGGGTGTCAAGCAAAGTCCGAGCCGGCCCGTGTGGCTCGTCGGTTCGGACTCACGAACCTATATTTAAAAAAAATATAATCAGAACCTAGCCTGCCTGGCTCGAAAATGCCTGAGCCGAAAGTTAGGCTTTTCTGGACTCGGACCCGAAAAAAACTCAATCATTTTACCTGAGCCGAGTCTGGGCCTTGAATTTCGACTTGGATTGACTCATTGACATCCCTAAGTACAAGACATGTAACTCAGAACATAAATCATTTGCATTAATATTCAAATATCCATTATGTTCCCGGTACTTCCTAAGATTCATTCAAAACTTCAACAAATTGAAAAAATTGCATGCCTTAACCATTATAAATTTAATAAAAATCCAAATATCTTTTTATATTGTTTAAATTGTTAAAATATAATTTTAGAGAAGATAGAATTTGATTAATTATAAAAACGAAGCATTCAATTCTAAAAGATTTTTTCAACTGATTGATTTACTAAATCACTGCTACTATTGTCAAATTGCTTCTTTATTCAAATTATACTTTTTATTCGAATGCATCTTCAATACCCATTTTACTTACCCTTTTTGCCAGTTTATCCATGACAATAGCAAATTTAATTTCTCTAAAATTTTCGAGAAATGAAACAATTCATTATAAAAGATCGATGGCATCATTAATATTTGTATTTTTTTATTTGAAAAAATTGACTCATAATATTGACCGCATGCAAACAATCTGAATCAGATTATCATACTAAATAAGAATTCAAAATTTTGAAGTTCATATGTCACTAATGACTCAACTTTACTCTTTGTTTAAGAATATTCGTTAATTTTTGACAAGTCTAATAAAACGTATCTTATTTTAAACACGTAAATCGAATACTACCTATGTGATGAACTAGTTTAATAGAATTAAGAAATCATTGCAACATGAGTTTGAGAAATCTTACGTCGCTTGTCCCCTTTTACTGTATTAGAAATAGACCTAATTTAGAAATAAAATTCCCACAATGAAAAAACATTATTGGACCTTATTTATAAATGGAATGGAATGGACCTAATTTATCAAAGTTTTAATAAAAAAAATCCTAATGAACCTAATTTACCCAAAAAAAAAAAGAAGGAATGAAATATGCTAAAATTTGAGACCTTTCTAATGTTGGCATGAAGCGCAAGCCTCACTCGCCTTTATGCAAAATTGGCCATGTTTGGGAGTGAGCTTCAATCTCCTAGAAATGCTATCGACCATGGTGTATGACAATCATGGTGGTGTCGGGTTACGGCGGGATGGGATGCGGTGGGTTCGGTGAAGGAACCATTTTTGCTAAATATTTTTTTATTATTTGTCAATTTCTTTTTTCTTTTCTGTTAAAAAATATGCTAATGAGTAATAAGACTAGTTGCACATTGTATTTTTGAACAGGCAAATAAATAATAATAATAATAATAATAATAATAATAACAACAACAACAACAACAACAACAACAACAACAACATATACAAAATTGAGACTAAATATTTATCTCTCGTTTAAAGATTAAATTTGCTGATAAATAAAAGAAATAATATTATGTTGAAAAAAGTTAAAGATAAATATGTGACAATAAAAAGGTTAAGAATCTTTAATACAATTAAAATGTGGAGTATTTAAAAAAAGAAAAAATCTAAAAAGCGGAGTGGATATGTAACGATATCATTTATAACACTCAAACAAGCTTTTTGACTATCTAGCATTTATGAAAAAGGCCGGTGCAGCTCCCATGACTGAATTAATAGCAAAAATTGGTGGAAAAGCGTACAAAATTATCTTTTCTCGAGCTCAATGCCAATTTTAATGCTTCTGTGAGCCGCATTTCCTAAATTTCCAATTCTCCTTCTCCACTCATCAACGAGCCACTTTTCTTTGACAACTCCCTGGTTGTTTTAAACCCTCTCCTGCCAATATTTTTTCAGTCGAGTCTGTCGCATCGAACTTGTCTAGCGCGATTTACCTGATTGGTGTGATCTACAGGCTATTGTGTGGATTGGTCATTGGGGATCCCTAGAAAGCCAATTTTTTGAAATTTATGAAAGATCAACAGGGGTACGAATGCTTTATTTATCACCAGGTATAGATGAATGCTATATGGTAGCGGCAAGAAATTCTTTGGCGTTGAATCAGGATATTCAGGAAGAACAGGTTGTTCCAGCTCGATACCGTCAAGAATTCCTGACTATTGCATGGGAACAGGTTCATTTTCGAAGTATTTTTCCCTTCCAATATTTTTCTATTGGAGTCAGTTCGAGAATTTATACAGTGCGCACCCCTGTTAAAAAAAGAAAAAGGGGTTAAACTCTCATCAACAAGCTTTACAAACGAACAAGACCATTCTCTTTCTAAGATTTCCTAGGCACCCTTCGAATTTTGGTTTATTCCTAGTGGATAAATTTGTAATCTTCAT